AAATCTGAAAACTTGGTTTAAATTGCTGAAAATCTCTAAAATTTCAGCAGATTCGACGTTTACTCGTGGATGATTTTCAAAAGCTGAATATATCTTTGGAGAATAACGTATCGAATGCGGGCAGTTGGCTGATCCAACGGCTCGGGCAGCTCACGGGGGGTGTGCAAGCCGTGGAGCAGCTCCGGAACACCTCTAAAAGTTAGTTGATTTGGCGAGGATTTGATTTATCTAGTGAATTAAGTGAATAAAATTGAATCACTCTGAAATCACATCTCAAAAAAGAAGTTGAAAAAGGAAATCTGACATTTTACGTGAAGATTTTCTAAGTTTCAAGTGGCCACTTCATGTTTTACCTGAAATTTTACGTGCGGCCATGTCAGATTACGTGAAAACAATCGGCTTTTGTCAAATGATGTCAAATTTGTCACAAGTTTTTGTCATTTTTGTCAAACACAATACAATTTTGTCAAATGTTGATGGCAAGATTCGTGTGTTCCTGTCTTAATCCAGGCATGATTCGAGTTTTATCGTAAATTTTAGCTGCCATCGAGCTGAAGCAACTGATTCGAGATGCGCGAGATGAAATCGACTCGTTAAATATTGAATTTAAAAAATTCCGGATCGATTTCACGAAACTGCGACGTACTTCTCTCGATGAACTGCAGTCGACGTGTTCAAATAACAATGATGGTGATGATATTATCGGGAATATTTGTGGGAAAGTAGAGAACTTATTGAACAGTATTGATCAGGCATTACCGATCAGTGATTTGGTGATCGCTGAGGTTGGTTTTTTTGATTTGATCGTTATTGATTGATGGTGATCTGGGTGATTTACGTGAGAACAATTGACGTGAGCTACGTGATTCTACGTGAAATCGGTCTGGATTCGATGGATTGATTTAGAATTTGAGATTGGAAGCTTAAATTTGGACGGGAGAATGGACGACTGGGTGATTTGTCATGGAAATTTGGGGTTTTAATGAGGGAAAATTGACAGAAATTTGAGATTCTGCATGAAGATTCGAGTAATTTGGGTATTTTTACATGCTTTCACGGGAAAATTTCTCGAATTTCGGGCAATTTTTTGCAGAAAATCCTTCCCGAACGGATATTCTACGAGCTGGATCGCGTAACGGCTTCAAATTTAACGCAGTTGAGTGCAAATTTTTACGCTGATGACGGTGATCTGCACGATATCGAGAAGGAATTGCAGGCCGAAATCGATCACAATCGATACGGTGCGTTCTCCCATTCCTTTTTATGAAAAATTCCTTTTCCGACCATATTTTCCACCAGAATTCCAATTATTTTTTACTTTTCCAATGGCAGTTCTCATTTTCCAACGGAATTTTTTCATTTTATGATAAAAATATTAATCTCAAAAATTTCTGCAGCCGCCCAGACCATGCTAAAGCAGATCGGCGATGATCTATACGGTGTATCCGAAACGATTTCCGTTGAGCTGAGAGATATCGATTTCGATGGTTTCAAGCAATCGATGGAACGGACCTTCAATAGTGATCACGTGGATTATGCCAGATATGTGGAATACAGGTGAGTGGATTTATTATTTGATTTGTTAGCAGTGTCACTGCGCTCAGCACTATGATATATATTATTTTTAACATTTTTATTATTATTTTTTATTATTCATATTGTTATTATTATTTTTTAAAATTATTATTCACATTTTATTATTCATATTTTTTAATGAAGTTAATTGATCAGATTTTTTTCTGCTTCGCTCAGCACTATCATATATATTATTTTTAACATTTTTATTATTATTTATTATTCTTAATGCATTTTTCTGCACCAAATCACATGAATTACTATTGAATTCAATCTGATTTTAAAATTCCAGTCAAATTACTTCCGATTCGATATATTTTCGTCAATAAATCACAAATTTCAGTTGGTTTGCTGTATTGGCTCTATCGGGTGTGTACGCTCTGATAGCGGTTTACTTTTTATTTGGTCTATTTTACGGGATGTGTGGCAGGAGACCGACCTTGTATAACGATGACTGCTGTGTCCGGTCGACTGGCAGTAAATTATTCGGGTGGTTAGTGAAAAATTTTTCTATTTTTGAGATGAAATATTCATAAAAATTCAATGAAAATAATATCCAGCCTGATTTTAATTTCAGGCCATTCAAAATTTTTTGAGAGGTTTGCAAAATTCCGAAGTAATTTTAAAATTTTTTCAAAAAAAATGGTTTGTAGTGGCATTTGGTTAGCAGTATTCGTGCTGGTGTTTCTTTCCGTAATTGCATCCGTAATGTTGCTGGTTGGTGTGAATCTATCGTCGTTCGTATGTCAACCGTTAGAAGATCCTCTTTCGAGACCGGATATCATCTCGGTTGGTACCACAAGTAATTTCAGTTCTGCCTCAAAATTACGCCAACCAAAGCCTGAATTTAATTTCAGTCCGTTCAAAATCAGAAATCAGTTAAGATCAAATTTCAGTTAGGTGATCGTATTGTGAATCTGTGGAAAACCGAACGTATTGAGCATGATCTGCCTCTTCTATCGTATGGTACCTCATCTGCTAATTCGAGTCAGAGCCTCATTACTTCTATTATTGATGGATGCTCCCTGTCGCCGTCTTCAAATAACTATAATAATAATAATAATAATATAAATACCAACAAACCAGCCCAAAAAACCTTCTACGAGATATTCGAACTCGATAAAAAATACCGTCTTCTAAACGTGACCGCCCGAGATTTAAATGGCTATCAAAAGCTGAACGATTTCATCGATAATTTGGCTAATCAAATGCGGATCAACATCGAAACGCATATGAAAAATAACAATAATAATAACATAAATAATATTTTATCGAAAAATATTCAAAAATTAACCGAAATGATACGGAAAACGTCGTCGATATTCGAGACGACTGCTGGTGAAACGAGAAGCAAAACGGATCAAGAGAATATCATCAAATTAATTGAGAAGGTTGGTGCTTTTTTTGTGATTCGCTCAGCACTATGATATATATTATTTTTAACATTTTTATTATTATTTTTTATTATTCATATTGTTATTATTATTTTTTATTATTCATATTTAATATTCATATTTTTTAATGAAGTTAATTAATCAGATATTTTTCTGATTCAATTCGCTCAGCACTATGATATATATTATTTTTAACATTTTTATTATTATTATTTATTATTGTTATTATTGTGATTCGTTAAATTCATGTTAAAATGATATTTCAGGTGAATAAAACGTTGGAATTGCTTGATTTTATGCCGAATA